CCACCTAATCGTGGTGAGGGGGTTTGAGTATGCCAAGGACCCTGAGAGCTATACCAGCGGTAGCGTAGCTACTGGCAGGGCCTCCCTTGCTGGACAGGTCAAAGGGTAGGCATCAGACGAAGAGAGACACCAAAAACTGATGCCGGAAGCAGCGTCATCAGCAGCGACTTGAAGCACAGAGTAAATAATGCTCGAGATGGTTCAAGTTCGTATAGCAACAGGCGTGACCAGAGTGGTTTGAACGCCTATTGTACTGCGATGTGGAAAGCAAATGGAAAAACTACCACATTATCACTTTTCCTGGATAGTCTCTTTCAAAAACCAGAGATACCATGTATGCGAGATGTTTCATTTGAAGGAGAAAGCTCTAGATCGCATCAAGTGGAGGAACTGTTTTGGAAGAGACTGTGGACCTGTCGTCTTGACAGATTACTGATGAATGAATGAATGGTCTAGAAAACCGAGATTAATGGACGTGGGGATCCGTTGCGCTGACCACGTGACACTCTCTATCCACAAAAGTTGGCATTAACTTAGCCGACAAGCGGCGGTCGATCGATCGGTCGGTCGGTATAGTTCGCTTGCGAACTGCAGTCCACGGAGTTTATGAGTCTAAGAAATGAGTTGTTTGGTTGGTAGTCAGTAAGTGTAGCTTTTGTCAAAGAGACATCTGTTGCACCTCAGACCTGTTTGTGTTCCTGCATTACAGTACTTAGTAGAAATGGCATGTATTTGAAATTCCATATCTCTTGGAACAATGCTAAATTTAGCTATATCCAAAACTTGTGGGAACTATTTACAGTACAGAATTTGACTTCCCCCTCCCAATCTCTTTTGAAATTGTCATATTCCATACATGCAAAGTTGACTGGTACACTAAAAATAGGCTTACACCAGTACTTCCGCAGTTTTCAGCTTACCGCACCGTAGCATGTAGACCCGTTACTAGGTAACGACTGTAAACAAACAGGTTCCCACGGGAACGAATTAACACGCAACTGTAGGGGAACTGTTTGTTAGAAGCCGTGTTTTCTGTGGTCTGCTCCGCGGCTGATGATACGCAACGGCGATGTCGGCACGTCTCTGCAGCAATGAATCAGCACCCATCATCAGACGAACCGTTGGGAACGGTGTTTTCTATGCAGGCCATGCCAAGGGGTTATAAGCGGAATGAAGTTTAGAACTTATTTCATTTATGGGATATGGGCCAGTCGGTAAGGGCATAAGCGGACAGTGTTAAAATCCGTTACCAGCAAACTACTAGTGAAGACTGAGAAGACTATGTGTGCTCTAGTTCCAGTGATATCTGGAGTAATTGAGACTGGTATAATTACTTGTAGTTGCGATCCGTAAATAGTCAGTAAGTCCAATCTCCAATCCAAAACCCCGTCAAGAGTCACTCTAACACGTGACATCTGGTGTCAGAAGTGATTGGATTGGAGACAGCAGTAAGAAACTGTGTCGTCATATTACAAAAACGGAACTCCAGAAAGCCATGCAGGAAATTATGGGAAAACAGGTTGTGTAGCTTCCCGTATGGACATCTACCAAGTAGAAATTTTGACCAAGACGCAGGTAAATTTAAAGAAAATGAAACAAGCAACCGAAAGGAAATGAAGGAAGCGGTAAGAACCAACCGAAAGGAATTGAAAGAATCAGTAAGAACCAACCGAAAGGAAATGAAAGACAAAATAAGAACCAACCAAGCCAAGGCGGACGCAACTCTAAAGGAAATGAAAGAATTGACGGCAAAGCTGTAAGCCAAGGTCGAAGCTGAAATAAAATCAAATAATGGGAAATTTGAAGTCATTCGAAGTACTCTCCTCTCCCGGATGGATATCCATCAAGCCAGGACACTGACCACTCAAGCAAAAACGAAGGCTAAGATGTATATGCACCAAGAAAGGATGGAGGCAGCAATACACCCCATCCGGTTCGAGTTAGAAGAGACCATAAAACATAGGGTGGAAGACATCCTGTCATGTGTAGACCAAACGACACAGGGCCTCGCAAGGAACTGAACTATTAATGAAACACACAAGTGGACTTACAGGCTTTAAAGATGTCCATCGATACTTGGACCGAGAGTTTCAAGACGGACACAGCGAATACATTTCGAGTACAAGGAACGACCTCCACGATGAGCTGGGCCTCATGATGCAGGGCAAGGAACAAACGACGAAAACCCTCATGTGTACAATGCGGTGAGAACTCGAGGCTAAGATAGCAGAAGTCGATGCCTGGGCCTCGAGGAAGAGGAACAGGAACCGGCACGGGGCGTCAAGTCACCAAGTTCGACGGGGCTAATTCATGGGCCGTGTTCCGGCGCCAGTTTGAGACCGTAGCAGAGCACAACTGCTGGACGCGCCTGTAGAAATCCACATACCTGATCACCGCCACGCTGGTCCGTTCCGCCGACGTGCTACACGGAGTCCCGAAAGGAGCGACATGAAGAAGCCCTGGAGGACCTATCGTATACAAGCACGTTGCCGCCGCATATCGCAGTCAGCTAAAAACAAGGACCCAGGGCCTCGGGGAATCCTTGCAAGAATTTGTGACAGCCATCGAACAACTCGCCCACCACTCTTACCTCGCACTACTATAGAACCAAATAAGGAGGGGGCAGGCAAGGCTTTTGCAGACATAAAATTTCAGCTGCTACTAGGAGGACATAAGACTGTAAACGAGGCCCTCAGACAGGCACTTGAACTTCAGGCTCTACATCTAGCCGCCACAAAACCATAACATTCTGGGGCGAGCCAATCGGCCCCCACTGAGCGAAGAGACACAAGATGCTGGAGCTGTGGGGAACCAGGCCACTTCCGGGAAAACTGCACATATGAAAGGGCAGCAGAAAACGACGACCGGTACCGTAAACGTGACGGGACACCTGCGAGAGACATGGGAACCGCCAAGAAGGTCCGAATGGGGACCGGGAAACAACAGAGAGGCGGATAGGACGGATGGCCAAACCTCGGAAAATGAGCGGGTGCTGGTGTATATAGTAAGGCACTCCTCCCACCAAGCACTGATGGTCATTATGGAAAGGGCTATCCTAGTCTAGTCACACAGGTCTGGGTCAGTGACAAACCATGTCTCATGACCGTGGGCGTCGGGCCGTACATAATTGGTCAGGCCCGACATCGCCGCCAGATGACCCGAAAGACAGTCGAGCCAACATTGCACGCTGCAGACGGTATCTGGGGAAGCTCTCCTCATCTTGAAAGAAGTTTTACTGACACTGACCCTGGGGCGGCGCCCACTGAAAATTTGGGCATTCCTCGCTATTATTACAAACGAGTGTTGATTCGTTGCTGTGGGAACCTGTTTGATTGCAGTCGTTACCTAGTAATGGGTCTGCATAATCAGCCTGTCATCTCATTCAGTGGCAAGTAACTTTCGATGTTGGTGCAGTATCATTAAACAACCTACTGACTAAGCAACATATCTACAGATGATAGTGGCAGCCAACAGGGGTTACAGCTATGGCATTCCCAAAATGCTCTTTTTAAGTTCTCTGGCAGTATTCGAAATACATAGGATTTTATGTGTCATTAGGCACGCGGAAGTGCAAATTGCAGTTACATATTTTTTATCATATGCAATTGTATCTTTTATCGACATCTCCAGAAATAGTTCATGTGTATTCCAACGTAGCATTATTTACACAACGGAGTCGCCTGTCAAATAGTATCAAATATTAAATAATAACATATAATATAACAACGGAACTCCAATCACCACATCAGCCATTGTGTATATAATATGTCCGTATAAGCATTACATATATTTCGATTACAACTGCCAACTTCCAAATACCATCACATATACAACTTTTAAATATACTTTTGACTATGTAACTGGTTATTTAAGACTTCAACTTTTATTGTATTTTATGTTTTATATTCACTCATATCATTTTATACCACCACATGCACTTGGAAGTTTCGCACTGTATCATATATTTGACATGCAATTCAATAACGAAAAGTTTAATGTATTTGCCTGATGATGGCCTTTTGAAGGCTGAAACATGTATCAAATGTATATCCTAGAGCTACTTACATGTATTATTGATTGTTGTGTTATGACGGTTTTCAGTAAGAAATAATTTAAAATTCAGTTACTTTCTTACCCTTTGAATGTATGGCCCTCCAATAACCTTGACCTCTCTACATCAGATGCCAGCTCCTTTCTTGTATTTGCTTTTATCTCATTTGGATTTCAGTTGTCTTCATGCCATTATCCTTAGTATTCTGAATACATTCCAAGAAGCTAGGTTAATTCATTGCTCTTAACAGTCTTTCTTAGTTCCACAGAATCATTTATCATCCATCATTAGGTTATTTTTCAAGGTTAGTTTGTTAGCACCATGCACAGTTTTCAACCTGGAAAGCAAGGGATAACCTTTCATTTGGATCCCCTAGCCTTTGACCTGTTTGGCTTGGGTGACCCTACCAGGAACTTCCGCCCCTGCTAGTGTAGCTTTCCAGGTGATCTGGGCATGCATGCCTCCCCACAGTTAATGTGTGAGCCAAGGAAGAAGAACATTGAAAACTGCAACAGTTAAAAGTCTGAACAGGTCGCAGATTTCTTGATTGTTCAGTTGTGTTAGAATCTGTAAGAGTTAATTTGCAATATCCCATTCAGTTGTGAGCCCAAAATAGGACAAATATGAGTAAGGCTTGAACTTCAGAGCTCTTTGTAGTTATAATCTGTACTCATGTTCTAGACATTGTAGATTGGTAGATGTGAATGGCATCACTGTCATGCCCCATACTGTGCATTGATTAAAAGACTCTTCAGTGTCACCTTACTCATATATTTTGTTTATGATGTGGTTCTTAAAATTTCACGCCAACCTTAAAGTTAACTGATGACACGATGTAGGACCTGGACAGATGAAAACTCTCCGTTTGCTGAAATGTACTAAATTATCATGGTGTATTTATTATTTTCAGTTCTCTGTTGTAATTTTTTCTTTTTGTGTGTTTTTGCAGCGCAAGTCAAAAGGACAGGACCTGCTAGATAAAGTGTGTGAGAATTTGAATTTGTTGGAAAAGGATTACTTTGGGCTTACATATGAAGACCGACATGACCCTCACAACTGGCTTGAGATGGACAAACGTATTGCCAAGTTTGTCAAAAGTAAGTTCATTTTGGAACTCCTCACAATGAACAAGTTAATAATTAATTAACTTATGGTTTGAGTTGTATGCCATTAATTTAAATTAGATTTATATTATCTTAAAAGTGATGGTAGAAGTAAATTGTAATGCGAATTAAGTGCCCTTGTTGTTGAAATCACACAGTATGCTTCGTGTGTTGTGTGTAGGTAGAGGCCATGCAGTGGGCTGATCTCCTGTTCAAGGATCCCTACCGAATTTTGGAAAGATTATTATATTCAGAATTAATTTTTTAATATGAAAAGGTCATAGGACCTAATCTGTTGCACCTTATGAAGAGAGATTCCATTGAAGCTAAATTTTACCTCATTGTCAGGTTATAAATATTAGGCATAGCCCAGATTCTGTAGATTGTGTGCGTGTGTTTTTTTAAGTCATCTTAGCTGAATGGGAAGATATCTTTGTACAGAATGCATAAAGCCAGGACAGTGGCTGTGTATTTGATGTTAAAGACTTGCAAGTTACATTACGATGAAATTTCGGTATTGGGAATCTACACAGAAAGTTGCTACACAATTAATTTTGATCTGTATTAATGATTATAACCCCTGCTTTATATAGTGCTCAAAACAAATTTTATAATTTTTGGATATGAGTTATTGTGGACTTGACTATGAAGAGAGTGGTCTTTTTTAAGTTGTAACTATGGCCACACCATAGCTCAAGCAGTTAGTCACTGGCTTCCCACCGTGGCGGCCCGGGTTCGATCCCAGGTCTGGTCAAGTGGGATTTGTGGTGGACAAAGTGGCGCTGGGACAAGTTTTTCTCCTAGTACTTCGGTTTCCCCTGCCAATCTTCATTCCACCAATTGCACCACAATCACCCTCACCTATCATCTGGGGCAGGTACAATAGGCCAGAAGTGGCCGCAGTACAAGGGACTTAGTCCCACCCCACTAGCAATAATAAAAAAATAATAAGTTGTAACTATAATTTTGAGTCTCAAAAACAACCTAACATGTAAAAATTTAATTTATAAAATATAAGTCAAAGTATGATCTAAATTGTGTTTGAAACCTTCTTAGTGTATATTCATAGTACATTTACAAAAATGATGACAATGATGATTTGATCTTGCAGTGAGGCACAGGTGTCATGATTGTCATTGTAACTGTAGCGTGTATCTTAGGAAGATGAAAGTGTTGCCAGTGAGTTATGTGAAATTGCAATATATGTACTCAATGTGTGGGTTAGGATAAACAACCAGTATTGCAATGTGAGTGGCCAAGAAATTTGAGGATAAACATTGGTGCCCCTCATGTACCTGATACAATTATAAATCACCAATATGTACTGCAGCAAAACGAAAGATAGCCCTGTAACATGTTGTGGAGACTATAGGGTTGTGAGATGTCAAGGCTCCCACATTTTCTAGACAGTCAGTTCACAGATGATGGTGAGGTTGTCAACCTTATGTACTGGCCCTGCTTTACCCCAAGGAATATTCCTGGTACTTCTGTTAGAGATTGTGTCAGCCCCAGGGCCATGGTATGGCTGGAAAGATTAAGTCAATTGAAAATTCCAGTGACCTCATCAGGAATTGGACCTGCAACCTTCCAGCTTGTAGCATAGTGCCTCAACCAACTACATTACTACTTGCCCCTATATGTACTTCAGTAATCATACATAATAAAGTCCAAAGACCACCCAGGTGCTCTTTAACATCAGGAGTAAAGGAAGGCGTAGGTGGTATGTTGTGATACAATTTCCTTCTGCTGTGCTTTCTCCCAGACACCCGCTTATTGACATAAAAAGATAGCAGGCCCCTTTTTTTTTTTCGATGAGCATTGTTTCAGTGGTCCTGCTATATATGGGGTATGAAACTGCGATACTCAAATAAAGTTCTCCCTGGGCATAATTAGTTAAGACTACAGCATGAAGACATATGGAGGAGTGGATGTATAGAGTGATGTATTTTTAACCTCAGCACTAGATGGCCCAGTTACGGTGGCCCTGGTTCCCATTGAATATGGTGCTGGGTGGGCCCCACTGGTCTGGATGGTGTCAAACAGAGAAAACTCTCTTGTCCCTACTAGAATCAAACCCTGACTGCTTGGCTGTCCAGCCCTAGTCAGTCACTATACTAACTGAGCTCTCAGGGTTCCTACTGTCGTACTATGCTCAGATAAATTTACGTGTGCAATTTGCACTTTTTGTTTTACTTTTATTTTCACACAGACTGCCTTTAAAATCGTAAACATTTAAAACATTAAAACATTAAACATTTTGTGTTCGAAATATGTATATCAGATTGAAATAATGCTTACAGATGAAAATGGTTTTAGAACAGAAATTAGAGCAGGTGAGTGGCGTCCTTCCCAGTTGATCATTTTTCATGGCATGCTTTCTTTTTAGATGAATTTTAAATTTTGTTATGTGTTTGTTTATGCATGGTAGCTTCAGAAGCTCTGGAACAGAGGTGAATACAGTTACATTGGCATAACTGTGGTTGATAGGCTATAGCATTAGGCCGGCAGGTGTGACAGATCCCAGAGGAGAGAGCTTAGTGCATAGAAGATTTGAATTGGGAAATGGAGTGTCTCGAGAAGTAGGTTAACATAATGTTTTACCAGGAAAACCGTTCACAATAGTGCTATAGATATTTTGACTTGTGGAATGACAGGATGGTGTACAAGGAGGCTTATATAATTTTTTAGGGATCTGTTTGACTTGTCTTGCAGCATGTTCTTATGTGGTGTGTATGTGGTGGTGGTGTTCATCTGAGTGACATTACTGAATTATAATGACTCTTAAATTCTCTTATGTGTGTTTTGGAGCGCACAGTGTTTAATACTGAAAATTCAACAATTTCTTATCTTTCTATTGAGCATACAAAATGTTGAAGCAGTACATGTGTGGGTACAGTTTTGAATCTTTATTCCATCTTAAAGTGAAAGAAAAGGGCATGGCAGTCAGATTGACGGGTACGACTGTTAAGGGTTGTTACATGGTATATTGTTTCCTTTGCCCAAATATGAAAAAGTAAAATGATATGGAAATAAGTCTTAAAATTATCTTGATTGCAGTGGCCTTGAATTTTTTTCTTTTCTTCTTTGAAGGTACATTACTGATATAAAGGACATCATTCTTTAGTAATTTATTCAGTCTGTTCTCTTGAAAATGAATGTTTTTGAACTCTTGCCTGTTTTAGACCCCCACCCTGTCTGTTTGTCTCTCTGTCTGGGTGTGCATGGGCACGTGCAGAATGTACTGCCCATTTGTTGTACAGTACAGAGTATTTGGTGTAATACAGAATGTCACTATGCCAGAAATCATAGTAGATCTTGACTGAAGTGTAGGAACATGTAGCTTCCGAAGTACTGCATTTTCGTTACTTCTGTCTGAGTTTTGGGCATAATTCACGTCAATTTTGATGTCGTAAGTAACAGAAATGAACTTTGCTCCTTACTGTATTCCTTCAGTATGTCATTCCTAAAAATTTTCAAGAAAATCCATGTTGTCAAGACGACAGATAACTTAACTCTGGAAGCTCCTGGCCATTTTGTTTGCCAGAGAAAATTCGTAAAGCTCTGCATTAGCTATTCATGAAGCTACGTGGAGTGGGTTATGTCCTGTTTTCAAACTCCATCAAGAAAAAGAATTCATAGTCATTGTAAGAAGGTAGAAATAACTGTTAATGTTAAGAGGGGTCTTCTGGGTTGTAGCACTTCCTCCATCTTTGGAGTCAAAGAGCTTGCTTCTGTAGGCTGCAAGCTGAGCATCAGCTGGCTTGTCATCTGCTTATACTGTTTTCTACTTGGCTTGCTCTTTAACCCTGAAGGTGGATATGTTATGTTCTTCTGAAATATTAGACTGTCTAAGAACTACACAGCATCATGACCAGAAGCCCACACACTTCATATTCACTGCTGTTGGAACCTCAGAGCCAACACAGTAATGTTTAAATTAACAATAAGATGAAAATTATCTTCTCATTTCTAAAAGTGATTTTCAGGGATTGAAAATGATTTCAGTGAAGAAGGCTTATTTTATGGAAATCGATGACCATCCTTGATCCTACAGCATTTGATGTTTACTATTAATTATGCAATTCTAAAAAGATTTTGATTTATACTTTTAATTCATTCGTTGTCTTTTGTTTGCCTTTCACAGATGAGCCATGGAAGTTCAATTTTGAAGTTAAGTTCTATCCTCCAGATCCTGCTCAGCTGCAAGAAGATATTACTAGGTTTGTAAAAATTAAAGTAAACTTGATTTATTAAATTGCCACATCAGCTTGCTACAGAAACATGGAAGTAAAGTAGGTGATAAAATTATTTATTTATTCATATATAACACGTCAGTTCTCGGGCAGTGATCCATGTCAATATGGAATTAATATCAAGCATTGTGGAGCATATCTCTGTCTCCATCCAGGGATTGATGTGTTTGCATCACATCTGCACGCTTTTTATACCACATTATGCTCTTTGCTCTTCCAGTAGGGACAGGACACCACTAAGCTGACATGTTAAGCAGCAGGAGCTACTACTGTGCTGGTGTCATGCTGATAATTGAGGCTATAAATTAAGTAATTGTTGGAAAGTAATTTGGTGACTGCTTAAAACTTTGTCATTTTTGTTTCAGGTATCAACTGTGTTTGCAGATTAGAAATGATATTTTAATGGGAAAGTAAGTTCTTCTGTTTAAATAAGCGACATAATATTGTTCATATATACACACGTTTCATGTAAAATATTTTGGAGCATTTATATTGATAGCTATCTTTGCATCATTCTGTCCAGCATTCAGTGTAATTTTATATTTATTGCTGTTATGTAGGTTGCAATTGTTGGCATCTTGGTTTTGAGTACGTAATTTGTGACGTTACACATTATAGTTAATAATAGTATATAGAACTGAACATACAGGTAAAACATTTCATTGTTCCAGTTACTCTTGATGTACTTATATACTGTCTACAGAGTAAGTGTACTTGGTGTACTCAACAGATACACTGATTTGCTTTGTCTGCAGTGTGTGGAATATTGTGGTATATGAAGCAAAAGTATTGTGATAAATGTACTGCATATTTTTTAACTCACAAACTAGGTCCAGAGTATGCTTTCAGAACATTGGATGTGATGAACATCCTCATAGATATGGCTGTATCATAAAGAAGCAGAAGGGTCATGTTGAAAGGAATAGAGTGTTTTCCCCCCAAAATCATAGAATAACAAATCATTCTTTTTTTTTATCTCATAACAGAAACAAAATACACAATGCCTGTGACAAGAAATGCAACTGAACTTGCTTAAGATTTGGGTCAGATATTGCTGTTCCAGAAATTGTTGTAACAAACTTATTGCTATGTGACTCTTGCTTATTCACGTCCAAGGCAAATTATATTAGCATCTTGTTTCTTCAACTGGCCATTCTAACTTAAAACATTCTTGTTTCAGATTTTTGCATTAACACATTTGAGAAATTAATACTATATTCCCTTTTCCCTGATGAATTTCTGTTTGATGAAAGCGTGCCAAGTCCACATTCCCTTCCACTTCTGAAGGTACTTCTTTTGGCCACTATATGATGGCAGCACAGTTGCTGACTTTGTCTGGTACTGAATGAATAGTATTGAGATGACAATTCTGTGTGTTTCTGACAACAGTTTTAAAGATCAGCTGTTTGCCTGTAGTTGACATGTGTTTGAGGAATGATGGAAAACACAGTTTCCTGGTTAATGCATGATGAGAACACTTGGAACTGCTGTTGTGTTCGTGTACTGATGTACATATATTTTGCTGCTTTTATTATATTTGCATGTAAATGGCTTCAAATAATGACAGAGTTATTTGTTTTATTGATGCTGTTTCTTTTAAAGTAAAGGACATGCAGCACTCTCATTATCAGGATGTAAATGCAGATTTTCAGCTTTTCACAGCAGTGAGTTTTCGAATTCAGATTCAGGAATATAACAGCATGTAGCACTGTAGTGAGATACCAGTGTATTGGGATAGAACATTTACGATGGTGTACCCAAAAGAAACTGAACTAATTTTTTTGTGGGCAGAGCTTTTGTAGTACCGCGTTTTGCCGCTATGAGCGCATAGAGCTAACATTCCTGAGTCGATAAGCCGACTACCGTTGCTTCAGAAGGTAAGGACTAGTTTCGGCAGAGTTTATAGTGACAACTGTTTTGTGTGATCGTCGTTTTTGCAATGGCTGATTTTCGTGAACAGCGTGCAGCGGTGAAATTCTGCTTTTTGCTCGGGAAAAGTGGAACAGAAACTCTTGAAATGTTAAAAATGGTGTACAAGGACGATACTGTGGGGAAAACTCAAGTGTTCGAGTGGTTTTACCGTTTCAAAAATGGTGAAATGTCAATTGATGACAAACCTCGTTCTGGTCATCCTTCCATGGCCCAAACACATGAAAATGTTGAAAAAATTCGTGAAATCATCAAGGAAGATCGACGACGGACAGTTTGCAGCGGACGCGGCCAGATTTGTTTCAGTCGGGTGACTGGTTTTCCATCATGACAAAACCCCTGCTCACACAGCCCTGTTTGTATGACAATTCTTGACCAAAAATGGTATGACCCCTGTTCCTCACCCTCCATACTCACCCGACCTTGCCCCATGCGACTTTTTTTTTGTTTCCTTGAATAAAAAGAGACATGAAAAGGAAAAATGACGGAGGCGCTGTCAAGCATCTCAAAAGATGAATTTAGACAATGTTTTGAAAAATGGAATAAAAGACTAGACAAGTGTATTAGCGTAAGTGGAGAGTACCTTGAAGGGGATTGAAAGTTTATGCTTAAAATTTGGATAAATAAGTTTAAAAAAAAAAGTTCGGTTTCTTTTGCATACCACCTCGTATATCCACCTAGATTTCATGGTGTGACCTTGAAGATGGAGCACCTTGAAAATGATTGTATCCATCCACAAGACTACACAGTACAAGGCTAACTCACAAACTCCACTCACTGTTCAGTCATCTACCCTGTGCTCTGCTGAACTCACCAACTTCTTGTATGCTCTGCACTTTCCTGAACTGACTTCTCATGACACTTGACAACTAATCTTCACATCACCCTTCCTGAAATTTCCTGCAATTTCCTGGCTGTCAGCTGAACAGTTTCCAGAACATTCTGAGAGGGGGAGGGGTCTCTTTAGTGTGATCATATGAGAGCTAAGTGCAATATAGTTGACATGACCCAACTGTTCTCCACTTCCACGACAGTGTATTAACATATTGTGACATGTTGCGAAAAGCCGAGCCCCCCCCCCACACCAGCAGTGGCGCGGCGGGTGAGTCAGCGCTCCCCTCTCACCCCTCAGCGGTAACGTAACGCTCGCGTAATAGGCGAATAATCACCCCGCATCCTGGCAGCTATGCGCGGTGACGTCACGAGCGGAGCCGAAGAGAGCCGAGCGGAGCCGAAGATAGCCGATCCCCCGCAACCTGGTAACTATGCTAGGCGAGTCATCACCCCACCACTCTCCCCGCGGTGACGTCACCAAGGGATATCGCGGTCGCTAGGCAACACGGATAAACAGTGATGCCTACCACGTGGTTGTTTTCTCGTTGACCTGCTGAGGGTTTATAAGCGAGCTACCTCCGAATTAGTTCTGAGTTCGCAAGTTACGAGTTACAGACGCGTGTGCGATAACTAAGAAGTCAGCGAGCGGAAGACTTATTGTGTGCTTTCCAGACATAGTGAGTGCTGTAGTACGGTTATACTCAGAGTGTGTATTTCAGGGAGACTTGTATAGCTCCCGCGTTATCAGTACGTGAAGATTGTGTTAAAGAGATTTTGTTGTAGGGTTTGTAAAGTGTGGAAACCCGTAATATTGTGATCATTAATTATAGCCGTTATTTGTAGATTGTTAAATAAACCCAATTAACCATCTCTACGGCGTCGTCGGTAACGTAAACACGTTACAATATATTTCCAAGAAGCATGTTCTATCATAATTGGTATTACACGTATAGCTTAGTGTGTATGTAAGTTGATTTAGGACAGACTATGCTGCAAGAACCTAATTTCGTTTTATAATATAAGCAGTGGAAACAGAAGGATTTGATCTCTTCAGCAGTGCCATCATAAATTTGTACCCAAAAGATTCTAACATTGAAAGGTTTAAGTGTTGGGTTTCATACATGTTTACACTCAGAGTGAAGACTTCCAGTTTATTATAATGTGTATTCCTGTTGCAGGCTTCCGTGTTCGTTTGTGACACATGCATTGCTTGGCTCATACCTTGTTCAGTCAGAGATTGGCGATTATGATGCAGATGAGCATGGCCGCAATTACCTCAAGGACTTCCGATTTGCTCCCAATCAAACCCCGGGGCTGGAAGAGAAGGTCATGGACCTTCATAGGACTCACAAGTAAATTAAAAACATTATTAAATCAGTATTGTGTTTAATCATATGACTGATACAGAATTGCATTCACCAGCTTCAGTTGTTTTGTCTATGACTGTATGGGATGTATGTTCATGTGTATGTTTGAAGTGGCATGACACCATAGTGATTGTCCTAAATGCAGAAGTGTTCAGCATCATATGACTGCCACAGAGTGCGTTTCTGGGCTCACTGGGCTCACAAACATTTGATTGTTAAGTGCATTGAGCAGAGGACATGTGTCATGCTTGGGGGGAAATGAGAAATACATCCACAGCTTTATTTAGAAAACCAAAAGGAAATCTTGAAGGCAAAATTCCACTCCTCTTGTCAAGAAGAATGTAATTTCCCAATTTAGTTTTAATATTTTAAAACTTTAAAATATAAATTTTAAATTTAAATCAACATCACAGATATACCTGCGCTGTGCTTATATGTGCTGCATCGGCTACCTCTTGCTTTCGGCACAACTCACGTATTATTTTGTGCAGGTTCTCTGTGTGCATGTGCCACTGCTTTTCTTTAATATGTATTAAATGTATTAAAGAAAAGCCGCTGCAGCACATATAAGCATAGAGCAGGTATGTCTGTGATGTTGATTTAAATTTTAAAATATTAAAACTAAATTGGAAATTAAAAAAAATTTAAACCAATTGATGCGTGAATATTAATAAAGATTTTAAATACAAAAACTGACAAGGGGAGTTCTGGAATATCAGGTACCGATTGATGACAGAGCAATGAACAGTTTGGAAATCTGGAGTTTAAATGTTAATATTGAGTGCAGTGTGACAGCTACGTCAAGTGAAATACACCTGATGATGGCCGGTTGCGGCCGAAACGTGTAGTGTGAAAGAAGGGGGACAAGAACTACAATAAAGTGTTACATTTACGATGGAGTTTATATTATACATATAGAAATGTGGAATGTAACAGGATGCTTAAATATAATATTTGTGAAACATATCTAATGTGATCAGTGTTCTTGGCATATCTGTGAACACTTGAAAGTGATCACATTTCTGCTTTGTTGTTTATGCTGTGAATGGGGCAGTCAAACACAGGAAAGTCATTACTGAAAGAAAACAGCTTTTTCAACAAGCATTGATTCCAGGACAAAAGAATGTCACCAGCCAGCCTCTGGTTAATCCAGAGAAAGTTTTCCTGTCATTATATCATATTAAACTTGGTTTAATGAAACATTTTGTTATGGCTGTATATTTAAATGACAGTGGATTTCTTTAATTTAAAACAAACAACAAAGGACCAGCAAAACCAAAATTAGAGAAGGGATGCTTGTGGGCCCCTAAATTATATAAATTATGAGAGAGAGCGTGTTTCCTGAAACCTTAAGTGAAGTTGGAGCGTCTTGGAGAACATTTAACAGTAGTGGCCACAAATATTCTTGGAAACCTAAAGGTAGAAAAACCATGAATCACTTGTTCAAGAACTTCTCAATGCCTGCAAATTCATCGTTGCGAAATGTTTTAAAAATTTATTTTTTGGGCTTATGTCCTGACTTCTTCCCAGCAAACTTGGTTGCCGTTAATGATGAGCATGGGAGACTCTTTCATCAAGGAAATATTCGTGATGGAGCTCTAGCATGTTGGCTGACTACTGCTGGACATTAGTAAGGAATGTCCCAGAGGCAAAATACAAATGTAAATTATCAGTAGCTACATTGTAGGCAAATTCACTATGCTTTTTCTACCTTGGTGATATTAAATCTTCAAATGAATCTGAATTTAATTTTTGATTCACTGAAAATTAGTTTGTGACAAAAATTTGAGATAATTTTTAAACTTGGTAATGCAAAGAATTGAAAATCTGTCCATTTTGTGCATGTGGCAAAAAGTTCATTTTGTCCAAAGTTTTGTGCGTGTGTCTGTGTGCTTGTGCATATATGCATGCTCGTGTGTGCATGCACGCTTGTTTGTTAAGCAGTACTATTTCAAGTTGATAATTTCTGAGATTGAGGTCTTCTGGACTGTGGCACCATGTAGTCTTGTAAGTGGATATCAGCACTTTCAAGGAACACACTGCCTCCATCTTCAGTATTTAGGTGTCATATCCACCTACAAGACACACGTTTTCAGTCAGATCACAATCTGAACAGTCACTGTCATGATGACTTCAAAAACTTATACAAAGTAATTTCTGTTTGTATATTTCAGAGGTCAAACACCAGCAGAAGCAGAACTTCATTATCTTGAAAATGCCAAAAAATTGGCAATGTATGGTGTTGACTTGCATCCAGCAAAAGACTCAGAAGGTGTTGATATCATGTTGGGAGTTTGTGCCTCTGGTTTACTGGTGTATAGGGACAGGTTAGTTTACTGGAATCTGATATGCTCTAGTAGTCAGTCCCAGACTGTGGTTTACGGAACTGGAGTTTGGTCCAAAAAGAAAAATTTCCTAGCCTCTGTGGTCTAATGGTCAGAGTTCCTGGCTACAGATCCAGAGGTCCCAGGTTAGATTCCCGGCGCTTCCAGATTTTATGAGAATTAGTGGGTCTGGAACCATGTCCATTCAGCCTTGTTAGGACAATTGAGGAGCCATTTCAAGGAAATAGCAATTCTGGTCTAGAAAACCGAGATTAATGGCCATGGGGATTCGTTGCGCTGACCATGTGGCACCCTTTATCCACAAAAGTTGGCACTAACTTCACTGACAAGCAGTGGTCGCTTGGTCACTATAGTTCCCTTGCAGACTACAGGCCATGGAGATTGTTTGTTGATTTCTTTATGCATACCAAGCAAGAAATAATTTGGTATTACAGATATAAATCAAAAAATGGATTCTGTACCAAGTATACATTTATAATTGCAACCCTGGTAGAGTAACTTGGAAGCAAAAAGGTTTAATAATGCTTTCCAGTTCACATACATATGTACGTGCATATGTCTGTGTGCACACATGACTCACTCACGGAGCTGAACCATTTTGAGAAGCTACCAGTTGTTTAGCTACTTGAGGACTTCCCAGCATTCTATGGAACCTGAAGGTTCATTACTGTGCTCACAGGAGCGCTCCACTGGTCTCCATCCTGAGCCAAATTGATCGAGTCCATACCATCCCATCCTGTCACCCTTAAAGTCCATTTTAATATTGTCCATCCACCTATGTCTTCGTCTTCCTAGTGGTCTCTTTCCCTCTGGGTTTCCCACCAATATCCTATATTCATTCCTCTTCACCCACATTATGCTACATGTCCTGCCCATCTGATTCTCGTTGGCATCATCATTCTGATTATATTTGGCGAAGAGTACAAGTTATGAAGCTCCTTATTATGCAGTTTCCTCCAGCCTCCTGTCACTTCATCCCTCTTCACTCCAAATATTTTCCCCAACACCCTGTCCTCAAACACCCTCAGTCTATGTTCCTCCCTTAATGTCACAGACCCAAGTTTCAGACCCATACAGAACCACAGGCAAAATTATAGTTCTGCATATTCTAATTTTTATATTTTGTGGCAGCAGCAAGAAGACAGAAGGTTCTGGACTGAATGGTAGCAAGCATTTCACAAATTCACTCTCCTCTTAATTTCCTCCTGAATCAGGTTTTGATTCGTTACAGTCATTTACAAATATCTGAACTGTGCCACATTTTCACACACACACACACAGAGATATATATATATATATATATATATATATAT